CATGCCACGTAAAATTACATAGACTGATGACGTGCCCACGTATATATATAAACGTACTCTTCAATTTTCATTTTAGTGTTTAACTAAATTGAAACTTAATATCCAACCCTCAGAGAAACATAACCATGGAAGAAGAGCAACCTCCGGCCAAGAAACGAAACATGGGGAGATCTAGAAAAGGTTGTATGAAAGGTAAAGGTGGTCCAGAGAACGCGACGTGTACTTTCCGTGGAGTTAGGCAACGTACTTGGGGTAAATGGGTCGCTGAGATCCGTGAGCCTAACCGTGGGACCCGTCTCTGGCTCGGCACTTTCAATACCTCGGTCGAGGCCGCCATGGCTTACGACGACGCCGCTAAGAAACTGTACGGACACGAGGCTAAACTCAACTTGTTGCACCCACCACAACAACAGCAACAGCAAGTGAGTAACAACTTGTCTTTTTCGAGCCACCGGTCGGGTTCTTGGACTTGTAAGCTCGATGCGATTCGTGGGCTGGACCTTGGTCTCGGTCCGTCAAGTGCGTCACGAGGTTCGTGGTCGGACAGATCGAGTTTTGTACAAGAAGAGGATGATCATCATCGATGTTTGTCTTCAAGTGGGTCGAATCTTTGTTGGTTACTACCTAAACAAAGTGATTCACAAGATCAAGAAAGCGTTAATGCCGCCAGTGGCTCTACGCTAACGTTTTCGACGAAATTGAAACCAAAGAACTTGGTGAGGAATCAGAATTATGGGTTATCAAATAATGGAGCTTGGTCTAGGTTTCTTGTGGGACAACAAAAGAAGAAAGAGCATGACGTGTCATCCTCGTGTAGCTCGTCGGACAATAAGGAGGCTATGTCGTCGGTTCCTAGCGGCGGCGGAGAAAGGATGCATAGGCCGGAGGTGGAGGAGGGAACAACAGGATATTTGGAGATGGATGATCTTTTGGAGATTGATGATTTGGGTTTGTTGATTGGCAAAAATGGAGATTTCAAGAATTGGTGTTGTGATGAGTTTCAACATCCATGGAATTGGTTCTGAGAGACTATTATTTATTGCTGTTCTTAGTATTTATCATAAATATCTCTCAAGTTCGATTTAGGACTAGTAATTTGTTATACACCAATCGTCGTGGGTTCTTTTCCTCTTGCTGTCTTGCATATTGTCCGATGTGTGTAAAGTGTAAATAGGTTTGAACACGCTTTGGTAATTTTCTTAAGCGATATGTAAAACAAAAAAAAATTATTAGATTCAAGTTCCGAGTTATAATTATATCATATACACCTTGTGGTTTTACTTGCGAGGGAAAACAACTTTAAAGTCTAAACCCTCCGAGTCAACCTAAAGGTTTTACCTTGACCCCGTTTGTACCAAAATTATATCGACACGACGAAATCCGGACCGGATAAGTAGGTCTACAGGTTACCTTCTTCCCTTAATACCGGCATACCGCTATTTAGCCACACCGTTTACTAGTGAGAAAGAGGAACGGTGAACTAGCTGTACGATGTTGTGATTTCTCTTTGTAAGCGAAAGATGAAGTTGGAGTAAGGAAGATGAGTTTTGTTACCTACAACTCTCTCATAAGCACTTTTAAAATTTTTGATTCTTGACTGTGGTATGCATGAGATTTATTTTGTAGTTTTAGTTTTCCTCTCAAATGGAAGATGCAAGGGATTTTATCAATCACTTTTGTAATGATTTACATCAATCATCTCCAAAATCAAGACATCAATCTTAAATGTTGCAGACGGTCTAAATGGAACAATGTATGGCATGTGTCGTATGATTCGTGCAACACACTCGAGTCGATGACATCTCTTACATATTAACGCAGTTGCGTCACATGAAACATGAAGGCTCATTGATGGTTCTACGATTAGCTTGGATATGTTTTCTTTGAGGATTTGTAAAAGTAAAACCAACGAATTCGTGGTTTACTTTTCTCCCATTTTTATCAACAGTAATTTGCATTTATAAATTGTTCTAGGCAAATCATATAACCTGGTTACAGGATATGTTTGTGGTGTGGATGCCAAAGATAATTGAAGTGAAACAAATTACAGTTTATTACTACCCTCTAATGTTCATGTTTCAGACTCTTATCTCATTGTTTGCTGCAGACAACAAAAATATATTGATGCCACAAAAAGACTATAGCGTATTTGAGCTCACAAACTTAAACATACATTATTTC